ATTGTTCTTAATTATCATTATTTTGATCCTTTTACCTCTTAAAGTACTTTAATTGTGAAATGAGCGCTAGAAGAAGTATGGACTAAGGGTGGAGTGTCTTTCGAGTGGAACCAATGAAAGAAAGAAGGGTGCACTTATTTTATAAAGTAATACACCACTAGCGAAAACTGAAAAGAAAAAAACAATAGTAGAAAAAAAAAAAGAAGAAAAAATATAGATGAATAAATTATTGTCTTGTTCTTGCTAGTGGGGTATAAAGTAAAGTAGTGCTTAAAGAAAACGAAAATATTTTTGGCGTGTGATCTTGTTTGTGAAATTGAAGTGGATTGAAGAATTTGCACTTAAAGTTTACTATGTGATGTGTTAAAGTGCTTGGGAGGATGAACCACTAATCCAAAATATATCTTACCCTTCCCTTAGCTCACGTTACAACCATGAAAAAGTCCTAATTGATTTTAGATTGAGCAAGCCTACATTAGTGAAGGTTTACATAATAGGCAAGCCTATGGTACTTTGTGTATGCATGTGACTTCTTTGTGAGAGTCAGAGTCCTTAAAATATATTTGAACATTTGATTCGAATGTGTGGATTCAACTTACTCTTTTATTCTTGTTGTGAGGGCACATGATTTCACAGGGGATAGGTGACGTTATTAGATTTCTCTATGACGTTAAGTGTTCAAGCCATGAATGCATTGTGATATTGAGTCGGTTTGTGAGGTTAGGATTGTTATAATCATGTTATTTTGTTGTTGAATAAATTTTTGAAGTATGTCATAAAGTAAAAGAAGTGCATGTTGAAGGCATATACTAAAGTATAATTGTTGCTATCAACCATAGTCATAGGTATAGTGTGCTTCAGATGCTTTAAAAGAAAATAAAGTGCTCAAGGTTAGTGTGAATTGGTGGTTGACTCGAGGACGAGCAACGTTTAAGTGTGGGTAGTGATGTTTGGCCAAAATGCTATATTTCTAGTACATTACTCGCCTTACATGTTGTTAGTTTAGAGATTAATTGTGCAACGTTTGAGCTAAATTATGTTATTTTATGTGTAGGAGTATCGGAAGACAAATACGAGTGAAAGTTGCACAAAAAGAGGATAAAAATACGAGAAAAGAGCACAAAAGCACGAAGTACCCAAACCGTGCTACAGACCAGGTTTCGCGAGGTCTATATCCAGGTTGACCGCGCTATAAGTCTGGCTTCGCGAGGTCTATAGCCCGGTAATTAAAAGTCGCGGGTTAAAAGTCTCCAACCTGGATTTGGACTCAAGTACTTCAACTCTAGCCTATAAATACTTCCTAAACATGTCCAAGAGGGAAGGACATTTTTAGAGCAGATTTGACCTAAAGGGCGGATATTATTGGAGAGACAAGAAGGCTACGAGAACACTTGAAAGCAACGAATCACAAGAGTTTTCTCTTCCGTTCTTCCTTAATCTGTATGTTAATGCTTTTAATTATTATCATGATTGTTAGTATGGTTATGAGTAGGTAAACTTTCCATCTAGGGTTTGATGGAACCTGTTGAAGGATGATTTTTCTGTTGCGTTTAATATAATTTTGTCGTTGGATTTTCTCTTCTTGTTCAACTACGGGATTATTTTAGTTGATTGAAGGGCCCGCAATTGACTGTGCCTATTTAGTGTGTATTGCTTGGAAAAGTGTACATATTTAGGTAGTTATTGAACAACATCACTCCTAATGTATGTGAGGAATCAATACGGAGGGTTTAAAGGTGGGATTAGGAATAACGAAACCTTGGTGCGAGTTTAGTGAGTGGTGAACTAGTGCCAGCTAGCGTAGTTCGGAAGAATATGTCTTGTAAATTGTGGTAGTTGCTCGGAAGAAAATTACGACACCCGAAGTACTCACGATCGGTAGAGAATACTTAGGCGAAATTATAGAAGATGTAGCGGGAAGGATTCCGACACTTGGGGAAATCATAACTCTAGACCTGCTCAATCTTGTCTCCAGCCCTTAGTATCCCTAGTTGTTAATCTACTAATTTAATTTTTTAGTTAATTAGATACAAGAATCTTAATATCTATAACTTAGGAACTGTTCGAGCTTGTCTTCTTAGTGATAGTAAACAGTTGTAGCTAAACCTTAGTTCTCTGTAGTATTCGACTCCGGACTCTTATACCGAATTATATTTGCAACGACCGCTTATTCTTTTTAGGACTAGAGTTGGCCGTGATCATCGCTATAGGGACAAGTTAAAAAATTTAAGCCTTCACTGCCTTGGCGCGTCATTGGAGCCACAGAATTCCTTGCTCCAGCTATAGGTAAAAAAACCGAAGCACTTATCGCATTGACTCATGGCTGAAGCCACATAGCCTATTTGCTTCAGCTGTGAACATTCTATCCAAAGGCCCCTTTTTGCTTTACAAAAAAACCATTGCTTCGCCATAGACTTCTTTTACTTTTCCAACTTTCATTTTGGTTCCTCAAGTATTTTCACATACTTATATCCACTCATACACTTTCATACCATAGTACGAATACTTTTATACGCTTCTACAGTATAACTTTATTTGTTTCCATAATTTGGCACGCATAACAAGGATATTAATATCTGTTAAGCCTCTAAATGGACTTTAAATATTACGAAATTTTCTAGAATGCTACACTCTGTCCCTACTCCTTCCATTGAGGTTTGTCTATCATTTCATTCGGGTAATTCTATAGAAGTTGATATTTCTGTAGTTTTGGCTTTACCTGAATTGATATCGCTACAAGAAATCTGACTTTACAAAAGTAATTACCAGATTAATAGGAAAAAAAATATTGTGCTCCTAAGCACATAAATACACATGCAGGGGAGCTAACCGTTGGTATACTTGGTCGCAGCTCTTAAGCAATCTCATAATTGCTTCACCATCAATAATGGTGGCCTTATAATGAAGCAACTACAAAATGGCAATGCTATGACGATCTTTTAAAACATATTTAAGAAAATAATACTATTCTTTGTTTATTCCATAAATGATAATTTTTTTTACACTAATGGCAGATAGAGATTCAGTTATACTCTCATATTTTTCATTACATTTCTCTCTCTTCTTTAAAACTGTTACACTCAATTTATTCACTTAATCATTATGAAACTAATACTACATATTCAATTATTCATTATATATATTTAGTAAAACTTTTTAGAGGAATTTTGTGTATAATATAGGGGAAAAGGTAATATACATGGTATAACTCAATTCAATTATATTTTTATTGAAGTATAATATCATATATTCCTGGTATAATTCATTTTTAGAGGTATACTAATGTATTAATATACATAGTATAATTCAATATATGTTATAATGGTATTAGGGTATTATATTACATATATATGGTATAATGGTTTTTCTAGAAACGCCATGTATATAAATATTAATGTAAGAATATACCTTTTGTGACCTTTTTAAGAATACACCATTTAATGAGAAATACTGTGTATACTAAGGTAATAATATACATTTGATCTTCTTAATAAGAAAGTACNAATATAAAGATGTATACTTTCGCTAGATAATGTTGTATAAAAAAGTACATGTACTTTTTCTAGTAAAAAGATCCATGTATGGAATGTAGAAAATCTGTTATGGAATAAATTAGTTTTCAACAAAAAAAATAGGAAAACATATTATCATTTAAATATGTTCGGGGTTGGTTTCAAGAGAAAATATAGGAAAAAATGTTAAAAAGTACTAGGAGCGTTTTCATTAAGGAAATAAATGCATTGGGTGCGTGATTATAAGTATACGGTTTAAAGGTGTCTGCTAGAAATATAATTATTTAGTTGTCATGTGTGTAAAATAGCTATTGCTGCTACGTTTCTGAAAAGTTTCCTTAAATTATGCATATTTATGTTTTTTGCCCCAATAAAAGAGTATCGCTTTCACAAGGAAATATATATCTGAACAACATGCACTTGCTGACTTTTGAGCAAGCTGAAAAACTCTTTAACCTGGCAAAATATAGATAAAGAAATAAAAAAAATGGGGGGTCGTGGTCTATGCTGAATTTGTTTTTTTAGATAGAATGAATGGAAAAGGGGTGCTTGTATTGTGGTTTTCGTATTTGCAAGAATATATTTTTTCAAGAAAAGATCCCCTCCTTCAATATCATGATTGGGTCGACCAGGCCAGATTATGACTGAATAGGGAAAAAAATGTACATAGTTATTCCAGCTGAAATACTTGGAATAATTCGTACATTTTCCCCACTTCACTGGAACGTGTTATGTACCTACTTATCCCTAGGCCATAGCATCTGTTCTTTAGCCGCATTCTTCCCAAGCAATAAGCAATTTTCGCAGGAAGAAAAGTAATTTAGAGATGCTGCTTAGAATATGATAAAGTGTTCACTGGGAACTTAACGATTGGATAGCATCTATTCATACTTGAGACCTAATTCCGTTACTGGGAATTTATTCTTGTTCAGCAACTAAACTTTCATTACCTCGGTCTCACTGCTGTAGTTAGTCGCGAACCAAGGTGCATAATCCTCAATTTTTGAGGATCCTTCACAAATCACAGGTGGATGTAAATGATTGATTTTTTCAGTTACACGACTCGTGAATTATTTTTTGAAGGATCCTTCTTAAGTGGTTGTAAAATGATTTGATTTTTCAGTTACATGACAACTCAAGAAATTCACGATCTATTATGCAGCAGATGATTCTCATATCAATCTATTATGTGCCTCTACAGTTCCAATTCAGCTCCGGAAAGTGACAACGTATTTTTTTCACATTAACTAGTGTTTAGATTACATATGCAGGAAAACTAACATCTTGAATCATTTGCCTGGAAACCATGCTCTGTTTACGGGTGATGGGCAAAAATAAAACAGACATCACAACGCACCACTATCGAGGAACTTACAAAATTAGCTGCTAGTGCAGTATTTACTTCTATAAACCTTCCTTTTAACTTCAAATTCAAATACTCGTTATTTTTCCAATCCAACTCAAACATCGACCAAATGCCTCCAAGTATGTGCAAACCAAACATTGATTAAGAAAAACACAACAATAAAAGAAACACATGAACAGATGATACCGTCCCTAGTATAATACAGAAAGATGAACGGACCATTTACAGCTGCATTCATGGAACCCCAGAGGAAGGGAGGGGGAGGAGGAGGAAGGACATGCAAGCCCATGTAATCTTGTCAAGCTTCCTCCTTTTACCTTTCTCTATAAATTATTATTCTTTTGATTCATTTTTACAAACACGTGATAAAGATGACCCACAGACAACAAAATAAACTTCATCGTCAACAAGTCATTCATCATCAGACACACAAACAACATCAGTTACATTAGTAGCTATGGCTGAAGTAGAACCTCCCTGTACACTATCCAGTGTTTGAAAGTCGGATAGGTCCAATGAATCGAAGTCAGAGCTCATATCTGGTAGAGGTGGCATAATGTTCCGCCTGTTTGCATGAGGTCGATTCTCCATATTCAAAAGCAGTTCCTGTGCAGACATAGGCGGATTTTGTGGAGAAGGCAACCCGCCAATGTCATGCTGCGAACTCATACTCCGCGAACTAGAGAGATGTACCACAGTAGAAAGATCTGCAGCTAACTGTGACGGGGAGGATGTTGTTTGTAGAGAAGCATGTTGGGGAAGTGAGGGTGATGATGCAGCCATGTTAGTGGATAGCGGTTGATTTTGCAAACCATGTGCCAAGGTTGAGGGGCTGCTCGTAGACATGGATGTAGGAGTTCTGAAAGGCTGAAGATGGGGGGCTGGAGCACGGATCTCACCAGCTACTCTGAGATTGCCAGTGGAAGGGGTAATTGCACTGATGAGAGGCGGCCTGCCAGGAATTCCAGCAGAAAGTGCTGGCGAACGACTAACAGCAGCGGTCTGCTGAATGGGTGCTTGTTGGCCAGCTAAAGACAACCCGGTAACAGGTGTAGATCTAAATGCAGGTTGAGGAATCCCACCAGAATTTACTGAACGATTAATAACTGGCAAAGAGGGGACAGAAGTCTCCTGTCCAACCTGTGCTTGGCCAGCTGAGGACAAACTGGTGGCATGAGAAGCTCTCAAAATACCTGGGGCTAAATTTTGCTGGCTAGCTGCAGACGAATCAGTCATAGGAGAAGACCTCAAACTAGGCTGCTGTGACACCTGATGTAGATGCTGCATATAACTAGAAGGCACAACTTGCAAAAAAAAAAAAAAAAAAAAAAAAAAAAAAAAAAAAAAAAAAAAAAAAAAAAAAAANTAAAGAAAAATTTTACTTGAAAAATCACAAATCTGACTTGTATAACCTAGTAGAAATTGACAACTAGCACTACTTTTTATCACCCTGATAATAATGTATTCTAGATAATATCTGGATACAAGTGTCAGTTCAAAATTCTGACAGGAAAAGTAAACTACTCCGAAAAATGCATAACCAACAATGATTACATACCTTGACGGATGCCTGGAAGCCCCGAAGGTTTGAGATTCATGCACTTGCATCTGAAAGCGTCTGCCAAAAGCTTATTCATGAGAACTTTATTCAGACTCGTATCAAGTTCATTCTTCTTCCGAAGAAATGCTGCCTCAGTTTCCTGAAGATTGAGATCATACTTTTTACGGATTTGTGCAACCAATTCCTCTATCGCCTTCTCGCAATCAGATCTCAGACGCAATTTCTGCTCAAAAAGAGGAAAAGAGCTTGAAGAAAATACAGAAGGACTAGGAGCAAATAATCACAACGAAGGAAATTGGAACTAACCGTGTCCTCAAGAATCTTAGTGGCTTGTTCTCTTTCTTTATGTATCCTTTCCCATTCTTTATGTAGAGGATCAGCATTGAAAGGAAGAAGAATTGGATTCGAAGTGGCCATCTGATGGGCAGGATGAACTGGTATATTCCTAGGTCCTTGGACGAAGGCAACATTAGTGTTATGTTGCAAGACTGCTTCACTAGGAAGCTCAGCGGAACCTGGCACTTGAACAGAAGCTTCAGTACTCTTCGAAGATGCACCCTGTTCTGAAATGGGTCGAGGATCCACTCTACTGACTTCTGATAAATTAGGCTGATCACAGATCAGAGGCGACATCTCAACATCAACAGATGGACACTCTCCCGAATTACCACCAGCCTGCAAAGTTTCCATCATCTCTCCATCCAAATGACGAGAAGACCCAATGTTTGGGATAAAATTCCTTTCATCATCATGGGTTTGACGTGCAGTGTCGCTTGGTGGCTCGTGAGCAGCAAGAGAAAAACCATCAGAAGCTGGCTGTTGTTGCTCGGAACTATTAATTAACACGGCTTCAGAACTGTTGGGTCCACATTGCCCAGCATCAACATCAGCTTGTGTTCCACTCTGATTTTCTAGGAGTGGCATCTCATGAGTGAGTGTTTCATTATATCCTGAAGACTGGTAACATATGTACTGATTTAGCTGATCCAGTTTAAGTGCAAAACCATCCATAACAGAACAGCCAAAAAATTTCTACAAAGTATCGGGAAAAAATGCATTGGGTTGGCAAATCACGCATATTATTTTTTGAATGGTAGAACAGCAATTCACCAGGAAAAAAATGATCCAATTACCTGTTTTACGGCTTGGAATAAAACTAGAAAGTCACTTGCCAATTACTCGCTCAAAACATCTAAAAAGAGCATGTCTTTGCAATTTGAGACATTTTAAACTTTCCTAGAGAGAGCTTATATACCTATGTCCAGATTCTGAATCCAGATGTTCTACAGAATAACACAACACAAGCACCTCATAAATTGGCAAGACAGAGCACTTACTTGATTTTGAGGTATAGAACCACCACCATCAGAAGTAGGAACTGCTGCTGCCAAACGCAAGTCCACTACCACTTCCTCAAGAGAAATTTGTTTTCTATCAATGGAGCTAACTGCATCTCTCGAGTTTTCTTCATCATTTGGTAAATGAGAATTATTTTCCAGACTACCATGTTCTGTATTCAATTCTTCAATAACATTATTTACTTCTGAATGATCATTCTCCACAACTACATTAACACCCGTTCCAGATACTTCCAACAAATGCTCTCTAGGTGGATGCTCTAGTGGAACTTCAGTATGTTCTTCGGAATGAAGAGGAAACACAGAAGCAATTTCCTCCGGACCACCACCTGAATCACCTACTTCATTAGGCTTCTCGTATCTAGCAACCAACGCTCCAGCCGTGGACGCAATCTCAACTTGCTCCTCTGCTGCTGGTGCTGCTATAGCATTTGTAGTTCCAATAGGACGAATATTTGACTCATTAGAGGTAGATGCAGGTACATCTGGATCACCTACTTCATTAGGCTGTTTGGATGCAGCAACCAAAGCTCCAATTTCCTCTGAACTACCACCTAAATCACCTACTTCATTAGGCTCCTTGGATGTAGCAACCAATGCTCCAATTTCCTCTGAAATACCACCTGAATCACCTACTTCATTAGGCTGTTTGGATCTAGCAACCAATGCTTCAGCCGTGGAAGCGATCTCAACTTGCTCCTCCATTGCTGCCGTTGTTAAAACATTTGAAGTTTCAACAGGAAGAATAATTGACTCATTGGAAGTAGATGCAGGCACATCTGGGTCACCTACTTCATTAGGCTGATTAGATGTAGCACCAAATGCTCCAATTTCCTCTGAACCACCACCTAAATAACCTACTTCATTAGGCTTCTCCGATCTAGCAACCAACACTCCAGCCATGGATGCAATCTCAACTTGCTCTTCTGTTGCTGGTGTTGCTAAAACATCTGTAGTTTCAATAGGAAGAATATTTGACTCATCAGAAGTAGATGTAGGTAGTTCAGATGCTACCATGTCACACTGCATGCTATCCACAATATTACCATTCAGTTCCTCAACATGTTGTCCAGATACAGGGTGAACAGTCTTGGGACGATTGTGAGAGGCATTTACATTTTCCTGAGAGCACCCTATGTCATCTATAGGATTAGATCCAACGCCCCTAAAGGAATTTGCTTCCGCCAACCAATAAGCAGCCTTTAGCATTTCCTTGTTCCTCATAGCAGTGTGTTCTACCTCAAGCTCTTTAAGCTGCTGGTCCTTGCGGCATTTGAGCTCTTGCATTTTGCTTGAAAATTCAGTTTCTAATATTTTTTGTTTATCCTTTATTGCAGCATTCTGACCAAAGATAGACCGAAGAACAGAAAAATTCACTCTGTAATCCAGCTCAAGCTCTTCCTTCTTCTTCTCCCATATTTTCTGGAACTCTTTGATTTCCTCCTTTTGCTTCTGTACCAGCTTTGACATTCGCCTGTCACATCTATACTGGACCTCCTTAATGAATTTTTCCCTTTCAATATCCACAAGTTCTTCTTTAGGTGTGACAATGCATTCCATGGATAAGTTTTTAACTTTAAATCTTTCATCCATTTCATTTTCCACATTTAGCTGGGAAGATTCTACAGCTTGTGACATGCTTCCCTTCGATGGCTCTTCTGGAACAGATCGCGCAGCTAATAAAGAAGACTTAGAAGAACTTGAAGCATTATCATTTTGATCCAACCGCTGCATGAACATCTTTTTCAAGGAACGGATCTTCAGATAAACACCGTTTACCTCTTCCTCGGTGCATCCGAACTGTAAGTGCTGCTTTGCTAGCAAGAATGTCTCCTCTTTGTCAATTTTTTGCTTTAAGATTGAAGCTGCAACCCAACACTGATAATTCACAGTAAATGTCAAATAAGAAGAATCACATCGACATGTTTTTCTTGAAGCAAGAAGCACACTAAATATATATGATAAAGTTGAATGTTAATTTGATGATAATCTAATAAGACTTGACCTTGACATCAAACTAAATTGGCTGTAGCACTACCATCAATCTATAAGACGTGATTGAATTCGAGAACATGCATACTGCCAGCTTAATCGGATCTGACAAACCACGGTGTTGACTAAGCGATGATTTGGCAGTGACATTGGCAATAGGAAAAAGTAGACCTGATATGTCAAATAATATATACCATTAACTCGACAGGTTAGTTGATGTAGAGTGATAACTAGACAAATATGGAATGCCGATTTGAAACCTAAACTGGACTGATACGTCAAAGTGAGGCAGTAGAAACACGAGCCGCAAGTGCGGAGTTTGGAGACGAGAATTCACTGTTGTATTCATCTTGACAAGATGAACCAGAAGTGAGTGGAACAAAGAACACCAAAGACAGACACAACAAGAGATGCGGTCTCCCTGAAAGAATCATTGAAAATAAACAAAGATAGTAAACTAAAAAAGTAAAGAAAAACTTTGGTCGAGCGGCCTCCAAAGAAGCTACTTAGATTTCTACCAAGATTGTAGAAACTCTGATACCAAGTTTAACTAGAAGAAATAAGACACAAAACCACTTACTGACGTTACAATTAATAACAGGCTCCTTATATCGGAACTTTGAGCTGCATGAAACAAAAAAGTACCTCATCTTTTAGGATTCCTAGTTATTATGATGTGATTATATTTCACCTGAACTTTTAATTGTCCATGAAGAGAAGGATAAATTCCATTGACAAAATAAAATAATTAAAAGGATGCAAGCAGATGATATGGGCAGTGAGGCAAAAAGCTACTAACCAGAGATAACTGGAAAGCCTGTAAAATTGTTGCAGATTCCCTACTAACATGATGATTCTCCATGACATATTCCAGAAACTTTTCTACAGTATGTTTGACATCGTCCTGCATTTAAATTTTGGTCATCTGGCCAGCAAGCAAAAGACTAGAAGGTAAAACCTTGGCTTACCTATTCCTTTGGTATATTATACAAGGGAGTGCTTGCAAGCAGGAAAAGCCACAACTATGGCAATCATTCCGCAAAATATCCTTTTTTATTCATTTACATAGAGAGTACCAAGTTGTTCTAGCTTGAAGCATGGTTGATATAACCAATTAGCAGTACGAAATTTGGTAGTGGCACAGAACCTGGTTCGTATTATAATTAAGATTTGTAGATACTAACAATAAACCACTGTCATGAGGATTGAATTACAGGAAGAGATGGTAGATAAAAACAAACAAGATAGCACATTATTTATGAAAAAAAGCCATTTAAGGAAACAATTAGAAATCAAAAGCATACACTAAGCAAAGAACCAGGTGGAAGGCCTTCAATAGAGCCATAAGAAATCAATGACAGCTTTGTAGAATTAGCAGCAGAACTCTTCGGATATAATAAAAGAAATATAAGAAAATAAAACCTCAAAGTAGCTAAACTATTGGAGTTCTGTAAAATCCACAAATTTGAGGAATAAAACACAAACATAAAGTTGCTGCTCTTTATCACAAAGACAGCAATGAAAGAAGTTCCAAATAGCAAAGTTAGTCTATTGGAAACAGCCTCTCTATCCTCACAAGGTAGGAGTAAGGTCTGCGTACACACTACCCTCCCCGGACCCCACGGTGTGGGATAATAATGGGTATGTTGTTGTTGTAGTGCCCTTGATTAGTTTTGTAGAAACAATTTTTACCCATTTTATGGGAAGATGAACTAGTTTACTGGCTAATTTTGAAGTGGTCTCAAAAAAGCAGATGCTGCAAGTGTTAGAAGAAAGAGCTATAGCAGCACACTGTCCTGTCATGTGTAGAGTTCCCAAGATGAAAAATGCAAGATGCATATCGCTCATGTATTCCTGATTCTTTGTTGCTTAACTTAAAGCTACTAAAACAAAGATACAAAAACCCATTTAACAACTAGGACATACACCTTTACGGCAGATGGCACAAGCAAATGAAGAACACCCTTTCACATGCTACACATGTCCTATACCATTTGACATAATAAATGTAGCGCTCTCTGCGTTTTGGCAAATTAACTAGGGCAGTGAACTCTCCCTGAGCACAGAGTGATGGAGGTCTTAACGACCATACTAGGTTTCCAAGATTTAAACAGGTTTGGATGTACGAGTACCGCAAATGCAGAAAGAATGTAATGGTGCTTACCATTGTGCCAAAAACTGCAGTATTATATATCTACTTGAAGAGAGTTTAATCAAAGAAAAATTGCTAATTCAGAGGCAATCACAAGACCAGGACTCATACACAAAAAGATTAAACCTTTTTTTTAATTGTTCACTAAAAGATTAAACCTTTGACAGGTTAATATCACCTTATCAAAAAATAAATATCATACTTATTCAGAGCTTTATCTTTTATACATAACAAATGTTTCACAAATTCAGAATAAGACCTTCGAACCCACTCATTATGATTAGGGAAAAAGGTCAGATTTATCCCTCTACTTTAGTAAATTGTCCACGTTTATCCCTAGTTCTACTATCCGTCCAAATATATCCCTACCGTTAAGAAAGTAGTCAAAAATGTCCCCAACCCTAACGGTTGTCAGTTGTGGCAAAGGACCCTCTCAATAAAAAATGCCACATCATTAAATAGAAATGGTGGGCTCAATGTGTGTCCCAAAAATAATTAGAAATGAAATAGAAAAAAGAGTAACAAAGAATAAAAGGAAAAAATAAATAAACATAGAAAAAAGGAGTAAAAGATCTATGCTCGTATCCTTCCCTCCCCCTCTTTCTTCACCTCATCAGAATATTCCAGCCAAAAAAGTATCCTTCTTTTTCATCCAATTTTTATTTCTCAAGCTTTCACTTTCCTCCTCCTTTCTCTTCTTTGTTCATAAACTATCTCTTCCACTATCTCTCTCAATATTCAAGTGGCTTTCAATCCTTAAAATTCCATTAAGAGCACTGTTCTAGATAGCAAATTTTCCTCGGCGAAGTCTTTTATTTCAGGCCAAAGATTCTTTTTTTTAATTAATAATTACTATATTCTTTGTTTGCGAAAAAGATTGTTCCGTCGAGATTTTACTGGTTTTGATATGTTCAAGCAGTGAAGAAATTTTTGAGCGAAAAAAGATTTTCCCGTCGGGTGGAATTTTAAAGAGAAATAGGAGGTCACTGGTAAATGGGTTTTTATGGAGGATTTCTTTCTTCTGGATCTAGCTCTTCTTCTTTTTGTGGAAAAGGAGTGTTACTGGCCAGTTATGACCAGTAAAGAGGAGCGAGAGATGGGAGAAAAGAGGTGATTTTCTGATGAGTGACTAGAAATATTTATAGAGATGATTTCTAGTGAAGCTTTTTGGTGGGTATTCCCGATGAGTGATTGCTGATGATTTCTGAGGTGGAGAGAAGGTGGGGTATTTTCTTGGTGGAATACCTGGAGTGGTGGTTCGACCAGTGACGGCTAATGATGAAAATTTACGAAATAATTTTGTGGAGCTGGACAAGAACCTTGAATTTGCAGCAATGGTGGTATGTTAGCCGAGAAGGAGAAGACTAATTTTAGTGGGTTTAGTTATTTATTTTTACAGATGGAAAATAAATAGTGACATGGAGTCCACCGTGTCATTTTAGTTGCTGGGTCATGGACATCCGTTAGAGTTGAGGACGATTTTGTCTACTTTCTTAACGGTAGGGATATATTTGGACGGATAGTAGAACTAGGGATAAACGTGGACAATTTTCCAAAGTAGAGGGATAAATCTGACCTTTTTCCCTTATGATTAATCTGGACAAGCAAAGATTTCTAATTTTTTCATTGTTCATCAAAGAGCCTGTATATGCTCCAAAGACAACATATAACTCAAAAAATTATAACTTCTAAGAAAGGGCAGGCAGGAAATGAATACCGGAAGTTTTAGCACTTCAAACAGTTTTGCAAACTCAGCTTTCAGATGGATATGAAGGCTTTTCTGCTGTATGACTCCTCCTTCAGGCCGCCCAACAAGGTTTACATCATGCAAGACATGAGACGGAGACCTAGAAACATGCTTCGCACCAATACCATCATTTTCATGAACACCTGGACCGAACCAAGAATTAGCAGCTGATATTTCTTGTCATATTTAAACTTATGGAATAACAAACAAACACTAACAGGAAATATATTGAAAATAGGTTAATGAAGTGATACCTCCTTTGAAAGCTGCAACTTCACCTCTTTCAGGTGTGGGGTGAGTGGGGTTTGCATCCACACTATGGTTCATTACCGCCTTCCTGCGCTTCTTTCCTATATCATCATTTCCATTAGGTGGATCTGGGGATTTATCAAAGTATTGAACTCTCTTTCTGTTCCTTGCGGTTGCAATGCTTAAATTTCTCCACTGTGGATTTCTTCCCTCCAACAGCTTTCTCCAAAAAACATGAGGTTCTTCTCCAACTTTCAACTCCATTTTTTTCTCACCAAGCAGCGGGATATTAGCACTGTAAGTTCCCATGCTCATTTGAACTTTTGAAATAATGGAATGGCATGTGTCCTTGTAGTCAGAGTTTTTACAAATTATTGCAGAGAACTCGCTAATAACATCATCTAAACGCAACTGTCCTGATGAGTTATTTGAAATTGAGGTCGGACTGCCTCCAGAGTGGTACTCATCCAATCTATTGAACAAATTTGAGGCTCCCCACATAAGGGTGTCATTGGGGCTCCGACTTAAGATATGCAAGTTACTATCAAGATTCAGGTCCTGTTTAGCAAGAAATAGGGCTTTTTCTTCTACAGTAAAACTTGAATACAGCCGGAAAACATATGTGTGCTTAGACTGCGAATCTATTGACAGTTTCTGGAGTTGTCTCAAATCATTCGTGGGATTTGTGTCACTATCATATATAATAACACTATCAACTGACAACAGTTTAATGGTTTGATGGCAAACACGATTCTCTAATAAAAGAACAAAGCGCCCACTTTTCTTGTCGTTAAACCTGTTAAGAGAAGCTTGTTTCTTGGAATGAATAACACACGTCTCAACTCTTTCATAAGAGTTTTCACCAAATCTTTGACGCAGAAAATCATCCAGAATATCACCAATTGATGCCTCGGAACCAGCAATAGACTGCATTCAGGAACGAAGATTTCAACAATCAGGCGAAGAAATTAAAGGCAAAAGTGACAAAACACTTCCACAGAACATCAATCAGGATGCAGGTTCACTTATCGTGTATGTTTATCTGTGTACGTGCGCATGTAAACATATACACGTGCGCTCGCACACATATTAGGTCCATTTGACATCCGAGTTGGATAATTTTTGTATGGTTCGACTCGTCTCGGAATGGGTGTTCAGATTTCGTAAGTTTTTCAAGATTTGAGACGTGGGTCCCACTATCGAATATTTTAATAAATTTTGGATTTTTATCCGGAAAATTAGAAAATTCATATGGCATTAATTCTTATGATTTGTATTAAGTATATTGAATTGTTTATGAATAGATTTGAAGCTTTTGAAGACAAATTTGTACTACCGGAAAAGTTTCGCTAACCGGCAGGCAATAGAATCAGCATCAGCAGATAGGCGCAGGCAAGCGTAGCGAATCACATTGATAAGCCCCTACCTGCCCGCGCACAGATGGATAGGGCGGGCGAAGCACAAAGAGGATGGATGTCTGAGCGGTTGAAAGAGTCGGTCTTGAAAACCGAAGTATTTATAGAAATACTGGGGGTTCGAATCTCTCTCCATCCGCGAGGTCATAAGTTCTCTCTTGTGTTATTTATAGAAAGAATCAATTGTGTATATATATATATATATATATATATATATATATATACCAGTCTTAGTGTACGCGCTTTGCGCGTGTCCCCATATCAATGTGTAAATAATTATTAAATAATATATAAACTTTTGAAAATAATGTGTTTGAGTTATAAAATAAAAATTAAATTAGAAAGTGTAAGTTCCTATATATCATGAATGTTAATTGCATTTAGCTAGCTCTATAAAAAAAAAATAGCGAGTTGTCATTTGTTGTAGTGAATGCAAGAATATAATGATAATAATAATTAATGATAATTTAATTAGAATACATTTTGGTCTACAAATTTATTCCTATTACTTCAAACTTGCATTCAAATCAAATTTACTACTATAACTGATTTCCTCTTTTACAGACTTTTTCTCACCACCAATTCTCTTGATCTTATGGAAACAAACTTGCGTATCTAAGAGTTTTGTCAACTTAAAAAATAATTTTACTTAGAAGATGCATTTAAAAAAATAATTGAATTGTATTTTTTTTTGGCTAATAATTAATTCAAAAACTTATTATTGGTTCTTATCATTATAGTAACTCGTTAAATTTTGCTGATTCATATAAGGTAATTTAAATTTAAATAATTTTAAATTACAACATAAATTAGCCCAATAGTTTCTATGATGCTCAGCGAGATTTTCTTACCACCATGGGACATGCAAGTGTTGAGTATAATTTTGATTAGGTGAGTTGAAGCAAGCAAGGATTTAATTAATAAAATTTTAGTTGATATCAAAATCTTAAACAATAAAAAACTAAATATGAAATGTATTTTAGTTATATTAAATGATTCAGGTAAAATCTTAATTTACTTTGAACTCCTAAATATTACTCCCTCCGTTCCAATTTATGTGAACCTGTTTGACTGGGCACGGAGTTTAAGAATAAAATGAAGACTTTTGGAATTTATGGTCCTAAACAAATCAAAAAGGGGTCCAGAGTATCTGTGTGGTTATAAAAGCTTCTCATTAAGGGTAGACTTGTAAATTTAAGCTAAATTGTTTCCAAATTTAGAAAGGGGTCATTCTTTTTGGAACGGACATTCACATAAACTGGAACGGAGAGAGTAGGACTTTATACAAAATTCAAATAAGGAACTAAGTCCTAAATATTAAGAAATTAACTTAATTTACAATGTTTAACAATGTGAAATTTATTTTTAAAGGGTAAAGAAGGCGCACGACATTTCGCTAAGAGCTTTTGTCCTTTTAATATAATATAGAATAGATGTGTCTCCCTATGTGTGTAAAAAGTACTGGTCCACTTCTTCCCATCTGCCTGCCAAACCCTTGGCGAACAATGTTACCCGGTACTTGAGTTGGTCCGAGGTAGCAGGTGCATGGTAGATATTGGAACAATTGACGTGCAGCAAACTAGCCCAGACACAATCGCTATAAAAAATGTTAATGCATTTGTATCCATGAAGAACAACGCCCAACCCCACCTTGCACAAAAAAAAAAAAGGATCCACTAGTACAATAAAGCAAACACTATGCTTGATGTATAAATGGGATGGCTGCCCACTAACATACACACTTAAGTACGATAAGAAAATGAATTTTGGGCCTAATCAACCCCTAAATATTAGCTAATGAAATGAGAATTGTCTAAGACCATATAAAGAGACAACAATCCATTCTCTCAACTAATGTTGGGACACTCTAACACCATGAAACAACAATCCATTCCCTCAACCAATGTGTGACACTCTAACCAAGTGGACTTGTTCTTATATAGGCAAGAGAGACCTTCGGAAGGAAGGTCTAAGCTTATAGGCAAGTAAAAAGGTCACAAAAAGATAGAAAAGGTCATAAAAAGAAGCAAAAGAATCTATCAGAAAAATATATAGGAGAACCAACATGATGATTCATGAAACTTCACAAAAGAAGGGCAGACTATGTAATTTTTTTGCATAGGTTATGTAACTACCAAATAGTTTTTTTTTTGTGAGAAGGTAACATAATGTAACTACCAAATATTAATAAGCTATTAATAATAGCTTCGCATCCAGAAACAATCCTTGAAGGGTAGCCTTGGCGTAACTGGTAAAGATGCTACCATGTGACCAGGAGGTCACGGGTTCGAGCCGTAGAAACAGCCTATTGCAAAAATGTAGGGAACTGCGTACAATAGACCCTTGTGGTCCAGCCCTTCCTCGGACCCCGCGCATAGCGAGAGCTTAGTGCATCGGGCTGCCCTTTTTATCTAGAAACAATCCGAGGCAGCACCCCTACAACTTCTTAAGGTAGTTGGGTGATAGTTCATTTCGTTTTTTTTTTTTTGGTAAGTTAAATAGTGCCTCGAATAATAGCATTCAAGGGGGATGCAAACCATATACAAAAAGAAAAGCCCAAAACCCAGAGAACAGCCCCTTCACAGTGGTCATATTAAGATGTTTGCTTGACCTACATGGCATCGATACAGGTGCCGATCCAAAGTGTCAGATTTGCTGCGACTTAAATATTAGGTCCAGGGCTATGGATAAGCTACAAGTGTAGTTACTGGGATTTGAAAATGTATAAATATAATATATATGATGATTAGTTACTTAGAATATTCAAAAAATATCTCATTTCTTAGTAAAAAATGTGTGATTGTTATCATATTTGTATTTCACAGATCGTTATAAAGTAATTGTGATTTAATATTAAATAAACCTGGTTTTTAATTAATTGAATGTTCTCAAAATATGATTAAACTTCAACAGCTACATTGAAACATTATTGAACTTAGATATCTAATGAGTGAGCCATAAGCAAATGGAAAAGAGGAGAGACCCAATAACCGATATAGGCCTTTATTAGAGAAAGGGTCAGACAAGTCCACTACATTCTTAAAAAATCTGGGTCACTTTCCAAGCATTTAAATAAATAAATTTTTAGTTAATTTTAAAATCTTAAATATTAAAAAAATTAACTTGGATGTATTACAGTTGACATGTTGATCCATCTTCACCTTTAAAAATAGATTTTACGATTGAATAAAATTATATTTTATTATTTTTATAGTATTTAGAACTTTAAAATCAACTAATATTTTAGTTATAAAATGTTAAAAAGGTGATTTAACCAATTGAATAACAAATCAAGTGAAACACATTTATGTTATCTTTCTCACCATATAATATGCATATATAAAATATACTTAAAATATTAAAAAATATTTATTTTTGGCTTAGACGTCTTAATTAACTATTTATTTATCAAAATATGATACTAACAGTACGGACTCACGTTAGTTTGGTGTTGAATCTTCTCGATCTTTTAGAAATTTTAATAATTTGCCTATGAGTTGATTTTAAAATTCAAAAATTATCATGTAAACTATTATATTTATATTAAATAATTCAAATAGAGAAATAATTTATAATTTTTACGTCCTTAATATTAGGACCTTTCTACCTAATTCAATAAGGAAAGATTTTAATAACCAAATTTTAGTTGACTTTAAAGTCCTAAATGTTAGGAAAATAACTTATTAATTACATATTAGTCCAATGTGAAATCTTTTTTAGAAGGGTAAAAAAGCCGAACGACATTTCGCTAAGGGTCTTCGTGCTTTTAATATAGTATAGATTAGATATATCAAAGTATTTTACATGAATTATTTCATCATCTTAAATATAGAGTTTCATAAACTTCTAATATTGGATATGCCAAAAATAATTTAGAATTTTTATTAGTTGTTACTTGTCATTAGATTGATCATAATTGGATAATACAAAAAGAATTTTAGCTTTTCATGCAATTGATGAAATGAAAACTGGATTTGTTATTTCAAGAAGGGGAAAGGTACCGATGCTCTTTACTATCCAAAATTATTCAATTTTTCTATCCACTAAACTTTTAGTCCAATTCATATGCTTGCTTTTTTCATAAAGAAAGAATATGTATTGGTTGGGCTCAAACCCCAAACCCAAATTCATACGCTTGTTGTTAACAAATTCTCACATTTGCTCTTACCATTGATGAAGCTCCATGGTGAAATTGGTGGACTCCATGTGTCCAAATTCTTCGAGAAAAAAAAGGCTCAAATTCACCCCTCAACTTTTGAAGTTGGTTTAAAGTTGGAATTCAGTTAGGGGTACAAGACGTTTTATGGGATAAGATTAGACCAAAAGTCTAGTTTGGGGTTGTGGGGGGAGGCAAAATTAGCAATTTCAGATAGTGCAAGAACAAATTTGACCCTTTTCTCTTTCAAGAATGATTAGCAACAAGTTGCTTTTTATGGATTTGATCTTAAAATGCTCTAATTTGCTTTTGACAATGCTAGCAACAAGGATTATTTTTTGATACGGAAATGCATATATTTAGCTTATGTTTCNATTATTTTTTGATACGGAAATGCATATATTAAGCTTATGTTTCAAAAGTCTTGATTAATTTCTTAAACTCTATATCCCATCAAACACCTTCCTGTAAAATGGGATGGAGGGAGTATATTGCTTTATTTAGTTGAAAGTTCACTATTTCATAAATTTTTGAGCCACAAGTTAATTGGACCTGCTATTCCTTTGATGAAAGAAAAACTAACAAAATATTTTCATCCTATTCCTGACATTTGTCTATCTTACTTGATCCATTCTATAAAGGAACTCAAATATGATTCTAAGAATAACGAGTCAGTCCTCAGACAAGATACAGGAAATACATACCTGAAAAAGGACAACCACTCTGTGCTGTCGGGGCCTCATCTCTGAGAGCATCTTGTCAAGGAGATGTAGTTTTCCACTTGCTTTTATTCCTACTTCAAGAATTTCAGCAGGAGAAAGCCCCTTATTGAAGGGTTGCAGGAATGGATCCAGAATATATGGATGATCACAACACTACAAAAAAAAGCAAGAACATATAATTCAGATAACTATCACTATAGGAGTGGCTTTCACTGACTTTTGACCAGGAGGATGAACATTGAAAGTTAATATTGTCTACGGAGATGGAACACCAACAGTTCTACGTGAATCCTAATTTGAAAAAAGTGCTTTTCACTTCCGTTGTGCCATTAAGCGAACTTTTTTTGTTTCCTATTTTCTTGAAAGTGGTCTCAGAGCCGGCTCCGGTGCACCTCGACTATTCCACCGGATACCGGTTATCTCTCACCAACACAGGTACCAAGTGACTCTACCTATGAAGGCCGGGACAAATGGAAAGAAATTACCTAGTTTTTTTTTTTTTGCCTCAGCTAGGATTTGAACCTGAGACCACATGGTTCTCCTCCGACTTCATTAGCTACTAGACCACTAGGCCAGACTCTTGGGTGAGTTATTTAACTATCCTCAAGATTAATGTTTCTATTTAGAAACTCCCTTTTTCTCAACATTCACTGCTGCTAGAACCAATCACCTTTGCCCACCTCCAAAGGAAAACAAAACAAAGAAAATGGTAACAACACAACCATCATCCAAAAATGTAGTAATGTCAAATGAAATGACACACCTAACCTTTCGCACAGAGAGAAGAGTATCGCGGAGAGCCCCAACAGGATCACTTTTATAGAAAGTGCGAAGAGCATTAGAATTTGTGAGTAATGTAGCACAATATTGCTCAAGCTGCAAGTCAGACATCTGAACAGGAACCCAGTACTCCACAAACTTGGAAGATTCAGGCTTGCTGCAAGGTGCAGTGACCTTTGAGAGTCCTTTCAGTTTTCCAAGATGGTCATTGATGTCAGATGCCAAGCCACCAGTCTTGTCCAAACCAAATTTACATTGGAGCAAAGAGAGTAGATTAATGTACTCAGATGAGGTGATCTGTTAAAATTAGAGGGTCTAGTAAGGACGATGTATTAAATGAAAGCAGTTCTATTAAGGAAAAAGGCAAGATGCGGAAGATACCTTCATTGGACCATTAAAGAGAAGCACCCTTATACCAGTAGAAAGCATTTTAATTTGCTCCACACCAGTAGAAATTCCTAAGTTTTGGCAGTCATCAATAACAGTCACTTCCCAATTCAAACCGCTCAACATTTCTACATCCTACAGAAATAAGAGACGGAATAAAAACGACATGGCTACAGAACTTTGAAGCAGTAAGAACTTTCAAATATTTGGGGAAACACAAGAATTAAAAACTTCCCACTTTTGGGGGAAACAAATGAAAAATCCATTCAACAAAAAGAACTACAATCTATCTAAATCACAAAAGAGAAACTTTAGGGCAGAATTTGAAACGTCATGTGTGAGTGACTTTTGCAAGTTTCATCTTCTTACCCAAACCTAGGAAGTTCATCAGCCATCAGGAAATATAGTTTCCTTTTTTTTTTATAAGGCCATCAGGACTATAGTTACAGTCAGATACTAAGACAAAACTCAAAACACAATACTCTAACCAACTCATCAACCTCTGTCTCTATGATGTATGTCAATGTCAGAATCTCCAATTCCTAACTTACAGGTTGTGTGTACACCACCCAATCTATCGACATACTTTAGGGAAAACCAGAGGCCCACCACCTCCCAGAAGGACTTTAGCCACATGCTGCATCTACTTCAAGTATAGACAGCTCAGCAACCACACAATAGTGTTGGAACCAAAATCCATAGCCTCCTAGACTCACCAGTCCCCNCCAATGAAATTTAGAATGGATGAGAATGACAACTTCTCTTGTTAAACGAATGAAAATCCAAAACCAAAAGGGTCTACAAAGATCTATCAAGGCTTTATTATCAAAAAGTTCACAGCATGAAGCATAGAACATCACTTGAATTAGGATCAAGGAATATATTAAAGATAAGAACGAAGCCAAAATACAGAAGAAAGAACGACTACACTAGGTGCAGAGAGGAAAAGGGACTGTTACCCAAGGGTGCTTGTGCTCGAACTTTTTCCTTATCACAAAATCATGAGTATCATAAAATCATGAGTATCAGAGAGTAATGGTTGGCCTCTCTATTAAGTCAGCAACGCACTGAAAACCCGTTAATAATGGCATCAAAGGCTTTCTCGACACAAACACAACATTACAAGAAAAGAAGCAACAGACAACTTATAGAAACTATTCATGAACTCTAAAGCCCCACACCTAAGGACACAATGACGACACCCAAATTTTTTTTATTACACAATCACATAAAGAAGAAAATTTGCACCGTTTGGCACCAAGGAATTCAATGCAATATAAGGGTAGTATGGCCAGAAAACCTTTTCAAACTGAAGCATCACGTTGCTATTACAAAAAGACGAAAACTTCCCAACACAGATTCCAAAACTGAATTGGAAGTAGCTAGTTCGTTGACGAATTCCTACATAACTTTAACCTAGCTATGAACCCAAAAAATTACGAAGTCTAAATTAATTTTTAAAGTAAAAAGTTGCTTGACCTGAAAGGGGGCTAGGATACTAAAGAGGAGCCTTGAGTCCAAAGGCAGCAAATTTTCATTAAAATCTTCAATGCTGAAAATACAAGAAAACTTGCACGAGGAAGAAACTGAGAGAGACATCAAATACAAAGCTCTATTAGCATTAACAGAGCGCTAATATACATATTCATTTTATTATATCTTTATAAAATTGAAATTTTAATCTTAATCCAAAAGCAGCTCTCTACAAGCACCACACTTAGATAGGATGGAAGGAATTGGTATGAACGCCAAAATAAGGAATAGGTAAGAAAGAAATGCATTTCTTAGTCAAAATATACTTGGTCATTGTTTTCCTTTCATTTACATCATCACACAGTGACCCCAAAAAATTAGGTGAAATCATATTCTATGAAAATAAATAGTCATGTATTATCCACAAAGCATCCTATATAGATAATAAATAAATTTTATCACTTGGTTGGGATTTAAAATTAGCCAAAGGAGGAAACTTTTATTCGGAGCTGCACGAATCATGCAAATGCATAAGCTGCTTGAATGAGTTTATACTTCTTGCTAAGAAGCACATCTGCATAAATACAAGTCAATTTCCAATGGACTCCCGCTTTCATTCTCTGAGAAACATGAATTCCCAAGAAAGTTGGAACTAAAATAACAACCAACTAAATATGATATGATTGAAAAGTAAAACAGAGAACATTTCACCAAAATGATACACCTTTAGCGGAACGTTCAATATTCCTGATGAAAACATCATCGCAGGTTACTTAATTAGGAATCTTGGCCCTGATTATCTGTCGAAGTCCCAATATCTAAATTAATTCTAAAATAATCTATTTTTAGACATACCTCAATGACGGCTTCCAGAGATGATAAAAGCACTTGCAGCATCATGAAACCCCCTTCGTCATAGAACTCCAATGACTTGATTCTCCTTCTAGAATCTCTGCTTCCACTGTACACTACAACATCAATACTTGGTGCCCATCGTCTAAATTCAGCTTCCCATTGGGAAAGCAAACTTGAAGTTGTGACAATAAGGAAAGGACAGCAGACATCAGACATAGATAGAATAAATAAAACCATCTTCATTATACGATCCTGCAGAAACAATTATCATATTAGTCAAACCTTTCTTATGCACCCATAGATGATCACATTTCAGGTTATTGTCTTAAACTCAAGAACTTATGGTCAAAAAATGCAAGCTAGCAGTACTATGAGAAAGAATTTAGACTCACAACTATAGAGAATTGATATGTGAAGTCCGACTACAATTATAGGTTTACAAACATAATCTTACTGCTATTTGACTTTGATGTTGATGGTAGGACGAATAATCAAAAGAGGAACATTAGAAGCAGCGGAGAAGGAGGAGAATGGCTAGCAACTCATCCAAAAAAAGGGAAGAATGTGCTAGCTCTAGTTTTCTCGTGTTTAACCGAAGGTAAAGGATTCAAGGAAGCAGAAGTCTTAAACGGGGAGATTAAATCTTGTCAATTCACTTTGATATAGATGTCTTAAGCAAAATGAATTGTTGGAGAGGACTTCAACTTGGTGAAGAATTCTAAAGCCGAGGAAGAGAGCTTACGTAATGTCGTCAAAGGCTCGGTCAAGGTGTACTCAAGTTCCGGATCTAGGTGCATAACACGTTGAGCGATTTGCCTCGACTAAACAGCTTATTAGTTTAGGCGCTAAGGCTTGAGTCTTATCACCTATGGTTCTTGTAAAATGCAACAATAATCAACAACTATTTCACTTAACAGTGTTTTAAAAAGCGACGAAGCGATCGCTTTAAGCGAGAAGCGATGGCTGCTTGCTTTTCCATGCCTGAGGTGACTCGACCACACGAACCGCTCGCTTCAGTCGAAAAAGCGCAAAGCGACCTTGAAGCGAGAAGCGCAGAATTATTGTACTGTTCAGAGGGTCAGTTATTTTTTTTTTAAAAAAGTTTGGGTCTGTTTTTTTATTATACAAAACAGACCCCTAACATCAAAGTGAAGACCATTTCTCTCTTCTTCCCAAAATCAATTGCTGCTAAGTGCTGCTAGGATTCAAGTCGCCAAAGACCTCTCCAATCCTCCGGGTAATTTTTCTTCTTTTTTTCTTCTTTCTTCTTTCTTCTTCTTCTCCTTTTTTTCTTTCTTCTTTCTTCTTCTTGTTCCCGTCCAGGGGTCTGCTCTAGGGCAGGCGCGATTTTTTTTTTCCTTTTATTCTTCTTATTTAGTATTTTAGCCTTTATTTATTAATTTGTATGTGTATTTCAATTTATAAAGTTAATTTTATATATATATATATTATATTTTCAGTTTATTTGATTATGTTTTTTTCTTATATATAAATTGAACTTTTTTATTATTTATATTGTGTCTTTGCAAGGTTTACATTATGTTTTTTAAGAATTGCGCTTCACTTCAATGAAGCGTGCGCTTCGCTTTTGAAGCGAGGCGAGCCCCTGTCGCTTTTTTGCACTTCTCGCTCTCAAAAACACTGGTT